ATTTAAAATGCTGAAATAAACGTTTGATCATTTAAATTTATGTTAGGCCACTTCAATTTCTGAAAATATATTTAATTTATGTCTATTCCGTGACGTTAGTGAAAACTTAAGAGGCGATACATGATATTTTAAGTACTATTGTGTAAAATAAAAATTTTATTTAATAATTTAGAGTTAAAGAACAACGTCTGCATCTGTTATGTAACACTATCGTCCAGGACTTGAAACACTTGAAGGGACAGTTTTGTTAAAATTTTATTATTTCAATAAATTTTAGATAGAGCAACCTACTTTTATTGCGGAAGGAGATAAGTTGACTGTTTATCATTATCTAAAATTAATAGACACTTGTAATGTAATTTTATACTCCGATTTGCTCTTTTTAGAACACGAATCTCAATTAATGTCGTAATTTATTATAATCTCAAGCCCTTTTTAAATGTAACAATCAATAAAACAACATATGCAAGTTTTCCGCTGTTCAAAACCCCAAAACTCCTATTAATACCCGATTTGTAGCCGCAAATGTCAGTGTTGTTCTGACAACAAGCAAACTACCATGGTGTGCAAGATTGTATTCGGCTTACTTCTGGTTGACTTAGCATACGGTAAGAAATCTGCTTTTCTTTGTTTTTTAAAAATGAACAACAACTAAAATTGTCTGCTTCTAGTGTTTGATGTATCGCATAAACGTTTATATTTTAATTATTTTTTAATTATTTCATTTATTTATTTATTTATTTTGTTTTTGTGTAATTTGAAAGTATTCAAAATAATTGAATAATTTGTTATATACACTTATTGATAAAAAGGGAAACCCGACTGCAATTTCGTAGTAAACCGGAAGAATGTGAAATATTCGTACTTCGTTAAACACGTGGTTGCTAGGTATTTCTATTAATAGAAATGATATATTTGTCATTTCAGGGAGTTCGTTGTCCCGTATAATTGGCGGCTCTGATACTACAACTTCAAAACACCCCCATCAAGTTTCTCTCCGAAATAGAAACGGGTATCATATATGTGGTGGGTCAATTATTAATGCAAACTGGGTTCTAACTGCTGCCCACTGTGTTACCGGGTAAATACGCTAATCATTAAATAATTTTCATTTTTTTAAACTATATTTATTATCATTTTGTCCGTATTCGATTGAGTCGTTGCGTCATGAATGTGAATTGACTTTATATCCATACCCATATCGTAAAATCTTAGCAATAACCGTAACGTATTCTTATCATAACAAAAAAAAAAGAATTTCTTCGGTTTCGTTTAGATTTTCTTTATGCATTTTATATATACGGAAGCATGGAGAGGACATAGTCGATTTATTTTAATAATCTGTGGGAACAACTTATTTGTCGAAATATTTTTTATTAATCTGTGGGAACAACATGTTTTGTGAGAAAAATCTTTTTTTATTCTGTGGGAACAACATATTTTGTGAGAAAAATCTTTTTTTATTCTGTGGGAACAACATATTTTGTGAGAAAAATCTTTTTTTATTCTGTGGGAACAACTTAATTTGAGTAAAAAAAAAATTTTATTCTGTGGGAACAACTTATTTTGTGAGAAAAATCTTTTTTTTACTCTGTGGGAACAAACTATTTTCTGCGATATTTTTTCAATATATTATTCCCTCAAGATAATAAGTTGTGCGAACAAATTAATTATGTTGTTCCCACAACATAATTCAACCAATCAAAATAGCGATTGCCACAAAGAGTGACTGCAAAGTTAAGTCCCTTTTTAAAAAGTCGCCATTTGCACACAATTCATACTTCAAACCCATTTCAAAATACTGTTTAATTAAAACATCTCTATCCATTTTTCTGACAACAAGATGCAAGAATTTGATTGGTTGAATTATGTTGTGGGAACAACATAATTAATTTGTTCGCACAACTTATTATCTTGAGGGAACAAGATATTGAAAAAAATATAGCAGAAAATAGTTTGTTCCCACAGAATAAAAAAAGATTTTTCTCACAAAATATGTTGTTCCCACAGAATAAAAAAAGATTTTTCTCACAAAATATGTTGTTCCCACAGAATAAAAAAATATTTTTCTCACAAAATATGTTGTTCCCACAGAATAAAAAAAGATTTTTCTCACAAAATATGTTGTTCCCACAGAATAAAAAAAGATTTTTCTCACAAAACATGTTGTTCCCACAGATTAATAAAAAATACTTCGACAAATAAGTTGTTCCCACAGATTATTAAAATAAATCGACTATGTCCTCTCCATGCTTCCGTATATATAGGTTTTACTACACGAGTATTCTTTTCTGGTGGATTTAATTGTATTAGTTGATCAAGTCAACGAGCGTCGAGAAATGCAACCAATCAGAATTGCACACACTTGTTACGTCACACCTTCTTTTCAGAGCTGCATCGGGTTATAGTATCGGTGTAAATGATGGAACACTGAATAACGGACCTGTTTTTGGCGTGAGCAAAATCTTTTCTGTAAGTATTAGTTCAAGCTGCATGCTCAGAGATAAGCCAAAATATTTCAAGAAAACACAAAAAAAAATCTTGAAAATGAAAGGAAAACTATTCTATATTCGAGAGCTAATTTACATGTTATATGCAATTCATGACTAATTTTACAGTACTTATTACCATATTCCTACTGCGTGACTAACGCAATAAGATTTTTGTTGTTGATGTCCTGACCCCAAATTTTTACTGTTTTTCTTTTTTTTCGTAGATTTTACATTGCTGTTGACAATGTGTAAATGACTTTCTTTGTTCGATTGACAATATTTTACCCTTTTTTTACACATTTTGAAATATGACTCACTAAAGAGTAAGGTACATTTACTCGTATTTCCTTTATATAAATATGATTGATTTTGTAACCAAAGAGATTATTGTTAAAAATTCATTGTATACACGGTATTCTCTTTATTTTCAGTTTTATTACTTGTTTGGAGAACTATTTCTTATTTAAATATTGACACCAAACATATCAGAAACTTGAAAAAAAAGTGTTTAAATGTGTTTTTTATTCATCTGATTTCTTAAATCCCTTGCCCTGCACGCTCGGGTTTTAAATCTTGCAAGTTTAACCCTTTCACTGCCATAAGGACGGCTTAAGCCGTCCCTGTTATTTTCGGCGTATTTGCCATATGGACGGCTTTAGCCGTTTCTATAATAAAAATAGTAATAATAATAAATTAATAATAATAATTATAAAAATAATAATAAATATAAAGAAAATTATACCATCGACAATAATTATTATTATACTAACAATTTTGGAAACATATATAATAATTATAATACTAATAACAAATAATAATAATTATATTAATTAATAATATGGTAATTTCTTAGAAAATCCTCTGGCAAATAGGTGAACAATAAAACAATAACCCTCTGGCAGCGAAAGGGTTAAATGCACGATAGTTAGACTGTATATTTCAATCATTATTAATTGGATTGTTTAATCAGCTTCAGCACAAATTAGGAGGACTGTTACAATTGCTCAAATTACTTGTAACATTTTTATCGTATGTAATTCCTTAGACTAAGTATCATAAATAGTAATTATTTTGACTGCATATTTCTATAGTGCATATATCTATATTTGAGCCGTGTCATGACAAAACCAACATAGTGCGTTTGAGACCAGCATGGATCCAGACCAGCATGCGCATCCGCGCAGTCTGATCAGGATCCATGCTGTTCGCTTACAAACCTTATAGTAAGTAGAGAAACTGATAGCGAACAGCATGGATCCTGATCAGACTGCGCGGATGCGCAGGCTGGTCTGGATCCATGCTGGTCGCAAACCTATTATGTTGATTTTGTCGTGACACGGCTTATATATTTTAGCACCCGGACTATAACAGCAATGGGTTCGCAGGTGCATATCCAAATGACGTGGCTCTTCTACGTTTGAGCAGCCCAATATCTCTAGGGTCAGGTGTAGAAGCTATCAGCCTAGCAGCAACTGGTCAGAACTTTGACAGGGCAACATGCACCATAACTGGATGGGGTAATACTGCTACTGGTATGTATCACCACTTCGGAAAATTCCGACAAAGTTCGGCATATTCCGTGAGTGTACGGATCAAACAAGCGTCTATTTAATGTAAATAAAAAAAACCTTGTCAACGTTTTAAATTGATACGGAAATTTTCGAAATACATGTATTCCGAACTTAAACAGCAATATATCATAGCCGCAAACGGTGCTTAGGGGTTTTAAAAGAGCACAACAACAACCTTGAGATTTTTCTTTCATTTATTGAATGTGCATGAAAATGATGAACTTTTATTGACATCAAGAGACATGGAAGAAACAATTGACCCCAAATTTCGTATTGTTTGACTTCTAAGTGCGGTGGTACACTGCATCTGTGGAAACAACCTTATTGCAACCTTTTAGAGCTTTTAACATCCTTGTACAACAAAGAAAACAAGACTTGAAGTGATTTCTTTATTGACCAATCACAGATTTCATTTTTAGAGAAAAATTTATTGACTTTATGGTGGCTTGGACATTGTTTTTAATTCTTGTAAATGTACAATAGGTAGCACGGTAAGTAACCCGACACAACTACAGGAAACCACGGGGAGGATACTGACAAACTCGGAGTGTACGTCCTCCTGGGGTAGCAACTATAATGGAAATGTCCACATCTGTATTCACAACACTGCAACTGGATCTTGCAATGTGAGTAAACCGTTATATGTTGAAATTTATAAAAATAAAAATGAGCGATGTCATGACAAAACCAACATAATGCGTTTGCGACCAGCATGGATCCAGACCAGCCTGTACATCCGCGCAGTCTGATCAGGATCCATGCTGTTCGCTTACAAACCCTATAACAAGTAGAGAAACTGATAGCGAACAGCATGGATCCTGATCAGACGGCGCGGATGCGCAGGCTGGTCTAGATCCATGCTGGTCGCAAACCCATTATGTTGGTTTTGTCATGACATGGCTCATATGATGGACTTATCGTGTAATGTTTCGAACTGTACATTGAAAGTGCTTTTTAGCAATTTAAGTATAAATGGCAAATCATCAATTTCAAAGGCTTAACAAAAATCACATATTATCTCTTTTTGGAAGGTGTTGGGATGACGGGTTGCGAAACGGTTAGAATAGATGTAAAACTTTTCATATGACTGATCATTCACAGAATAAACTACGTTATTAAGATTTTGATAAGTGAAAGTGTTGTAGAATGATTTGGCGACTAATTTTTAAGTTGTCTTCGTAACGTAACGTAACATGTCATTTAATCTTGCTTTCAAGGCTAGAACGTTAATCAGTCCAAAAATAGATTGCTGAGCCTTTACAATAATATGTATATCTTGATATTTGTTCACGTGGACACTTTCACGTATTTAAAATAAAATAACGTATTCTGTATAAAGAGCTATATGAAATTCTGTTATAGGGTGACAGCGGTGGACCAATGGTTTGCTCGGGTGTTCTTGCTGGCGTGACATCATGGGGCTACTCTGGATGTAGGACGGACTTTCCAAGCGTCTACGCCCGAGTATCAACATTCAAGGAATGGGTCGACTTCACTGTGGCGACTAATTAACAACAGACTGATAACTTGTAAATTTGATTGTCAAACTTACGACCAATAAATCAACTTCAAGGCATGCAATTATGTGTTTAATTATTTGTTTGAAAACCTTTTCTTGAAGTTATTTACGCATTGAAGCATTAGAATACGTATCGGCGGCAACTTGATACACCTATGCGACATGTGCAGGGTAAGATCAGCTGTCAGTATTCACTTTTCAGTCAGTTTATATTTGAATTTCTTCCCTAAAATGTGACTGGATTTGTCAAGTTCGTCGAAGTCTATTAAGTTACTCTTGTATCATAGTTTGGGGACCTTTCTGTTGAAAAAGTGTCAGAGTTAAATCGTATACATAAACATGCACAGTGCGGTAACTGGAGTGCAGGTATCAGTTACCCGCACTCCAGATAATGTCCGTTGATTGGTTCATTTTTGCTGGGGTTTACATATTGTGACGGCAGAGAAAGGGAAAAGGGCAGAAATATCATATTCAAAAGCTCGTTCATTGGTTCATTTTTTCTGGGGTTTCGTATTATGACAACAAGGAACGTGCTATCATGTTTGACTATGATACAAAAGAGAAAGAACACCAAAACACTCGGCAATCTGATTTATACTCGGGGGCCACGCCCCCTCGTGCAAATCAGATAGCCTCGTGTTTCGGTGCTCTTTCTATTACTTATCTCCCTAAATTTGTGTATAAACGACATTTTTTATGAGTTAAATTTAGCTGGGTTTTTTTTTTGGTTACTTTTCTGGGATTTTTAAAGCGAAGAACTCTATTGAGCAGCCAGTCTCACTAAACGACCAACCTTATTTAACGGCTAATCTTACAGGCTTGGTAAGCCGTTTACCGTACAGAGCTAGGTAAAGATTTTTTTTGCCATGAAGTTTGACATAAATTTGTATGAATATAGTCATGTTTATATTCCCGTTAGTACTAAAACCCTCCCTATGCCACCCGTGGCCAAGTGGATAAGGTCGCTTATCTTATGGTGTGGGTTTGAGTCCCGACATAGATTCTCTGTAGTGTTAGGATTATCTACCTAGCTTACGCAACTTAGGTGGTTCTACTCAGGTGCACGTTCGTGCCTGAAATAATTTACGGATTGGCACCTGAGGTCTTCCTCAATCAGGAGAAATAGAAAGTCTCCATATGACCTATACGTCACTGGTGCGACGTAAAACATAACAATAAAATGTACCTTGTAAATGTTGTATTCCAAAAACACATGGATGACAAAGCCATCATCAAAATTTATTTGTATCGTCATGATTTTGGTTCACACATCAAAACTTGTTCTTTTGCGCGGAGGAGGAAGTGTTACACGAGTGATGGATTTCTTATGATAACTTGTCGGGATTCTTGTGATAACTGTCACGGAGTTCGTCGGAAAACTTGTGTATATACTACAGAAGCACTCGTCAAAAATGGTCATTTTCATTTTTAAAAGTCAGTTAAGGTGCTAAATTTAACTTTAATGATTAAGCTTGCCGTACGTCTTGTATTATGTGTCAAATATTAATTTATAGTCCATTTTTCAGCATCTCACGACGTTTTATATGCAATACTTACGTGAAAAACTACACATACCATTATTATAATCAACCAATGTCACGTGACAATTGCTGTAAATGTGACACTTTAATTTCCGTGTCAAATTTCATAAAGTATACAAATCACGATAAAATTTTACTTACATTTTTATTGATCCATATTTCAAAACAGATATGTCATTTTAACATAAGTTTATCATTTTAACACAATGTTAAATTATTTCAACACAATTATATCATTTCAACACAATTATATCATTTCAACACAATGTTAGATAACTTCAACACAACTTTATTATTTCAACATAGTGTTAAATCATTTCAACATTTCAACACAAGTATATCATTTCAACACAAGTTACGCATTTAAACAAAGGTATAATATTTAGACAATATAATTCAATTTCAGTGCTACTTTTTTCATTTCAACACAATTATAGTTTAACATCATAAAGCAGATGCTTTCAATGTATATTTAGAACATAAACTACATTTTCAGCCAATGAAATCGCTGGAATGTAGTTCATTATCATTGCAAATAATCATGCCTAAGTTGTACAGTTTTTATAACAACCTGTTACATTTCCCATGTCTAGAAAAGCTGATAACCCATTTGCTTTTTGTTTTATACTTATCATTTGTAGATCTATAATATTTGACATGTATTTGATGTAATAAAAATATGTTTAAATTGCAGTGGGAAAATACTTCGACCAATGAAAATGAATAATGGAAGTTAGTTATATATCACACGTTAAATTTAAAAATCTGGAAAAGATATAGAGGATATTCAAGTTTTTTCTATGAATACATGATTTATTTTCATCGAGTGGTATGAAAATAAATATTTCATGAGTGGCGGTAGCCACGAGTGAAATATGGTAATTTTCATGCCACTAGATGAAAATAAATCGTGTATTTATAGAAAAAACTTGAATTTTCTGTTTATTATATACATTTTTCTCTTTTTTGACATTAAAATTTGAAAGCCTTTCCCTTAAATTTTGTGTACTGGCAGAATTTAAAAGAAAGTAGTCCGGCAAGACACCAGTGAAAATACGGAAAATATGTTTCACTGCAGTGAAAAATAAATTTTTACAGTGAAAATACGGAAAATGAAAATACGCATTTTATTTCATCAATATTTCTCAATATTTCATTTATAAGTATATAATAAATGAAACCTATGCACAACGAGAAGTCAGGTCAAGCGAAAATGTTCTGTTAGACGTCTACTTGTTTAGAGTATTGCAATATGTTTCCTGTGTCTAAGAAAGGGCTGTGACTAAAAAAAGAATTGGAGCACCACACTAAATACCGTATTTCGGTATATACCGGACAAGGCGCTTGAATGATAAAATGCTAAAATCTTGTCTTTTTACCCAACGGAATGAACTTTAACAGGTCTAATTCATCTTTTCACACCGAATCAAGTACGATAATCAAGGAAAAATGTAAAAATCGGCGAAAAAAACGATATTTGTCTATTTTGTGATCATGATTTCTGCAAGCGTCTAGAGGTACTGCTCCAATCCTGTATTGAGCTAAATCCCTAAGAAAGTCTTATATAATGACGTCAATAATGACGTCATCTGGCAAGCACACTTTGTGAAAAGCCATGAACAATCATCTCCAGCTTAGATTTCTTAAATTTCAATACCTAGCTCTAGCTATATAAAGTCGAACAGTTACATAACTTTTAATTAGGGTTACGCCTAAAAATCAGAAAAAAATATTAAAAGGCCCTTCAATTTCTGAAAATATATTAAATTACACAAAGAAAGTTGAAGCTGAAATTAACAGGACACAGATTTACGTCTTTGATCAACACAACAGTTACTGTAGATTCTAATGATACTGAAAAAAATACTGAAAATAAATGTAATTAAAATCTATTATATTGATCATATTTCATGACACTGCAAACAAAATGTCGAGCAACAAATGGCTTTCTTGTATTTTTGCATTACCTAGCTCTATTCCACTTATAAATCACGTGACCACAGACGCTTGTGGTTTGGAGCTCAAAACGCCTTTAAAATCCAAATAAAATGCATATTTGTCAATCCCAGGACATGTACTGGTCATATATATCAAAAAATCTTAATATATGCCGTTTTGAAAAAAAATCATATTTCAACAACTATAATAATACACAAGATAAAAATGTTCGCCGGAAAAAATCCGCACCCCTACCGTCATAATCACCATGTATTTTATTCCATTTCCAATATTTTCACATAATCCTTTGGTCTATCGACACAGAAGATATAATTCTTCACGATGATGGTCAATTTTAAACTTCAACGGTAATATAAACAACGCAACAGCCGAAATAAACATCAATATTATCGCCGTTTTTTTCCAACGACAAAATCTTTCGATAAATTCAATGGACCAGACGGCTATGAACGAAGCTATCCGATTATGTGGTTCCCAAACTTAAAAGCGCTGCGCATTTTGCACACGGCAAAGCTGGGGCCACATAATCGGATAGCTTCGTTCATAGCCGTCTGGTCCATTGAATTTATCGAAAGATTTTGTCGTTGGAAAAAAAACGGCGATAATATTGATGTTTATTTCGGCTGTTGCGTTGTTTATATTACCGTTGAAGTTTAAAATTGACCATCATCGTGAAGAATTATATCTTCTGTGTCGATAGACCAAAGGATTATGTGAAAATATTGGAAATGGATTAAATTCATGGTGATTATGACGGTAGGGGTGCGGATTTTTTCCGGCGAACATTTTTATCTTGTGTATTATTATAGTTGTTGAAATATGATTTTTTTTCAAAACGGCATATATTAAGATTTTTTGATATATATGATCAGTACATGTCCTGGGATTGACAAATATGCATTTTATTTGGATTTTAAAGGCGTTTTGAGCTCCAAACCACAAGCGTCTGTGCACGTGACAGGAGCTTTGGTCGACATTCCACTCTCATAGTATGTACACGTCATATGCATTTATGTTTGAAGGAGCCATTGAACAATTCACATTAGAAGAAGATTATAAATTCTATTTATAAATTGAGCCGCGTCACGACAAAACCAACATAATAGGTTTGCGACCAGCATGGATCCAGACCAGCCTGCCCATCCGCGATCAATGCTGTTCGCTATCAGTTTCTCTACTTGTAATAGAATTGGTAAGCGAACAGCATGGATCCTGATCAGACTGCGCGGATGCGCGAGCCGGTCTGGATCCATGCTAATCGCAAAGGCACTATGTTGGTTTTGTCGTGACGCGGCTCAATTGTTTAATATTCGGTTTAACAACCTCTTCGCAATACAGATAGATAGTCTGGATTACCTGCCCTTTTCTCTCCGTTCAATAGTACTAAATTTTATAGCACGACGGAAACCAGACTATACAGGTAGATATTTCAAGCAAGATCATTTCCCACATTTTTGGCAGTGTTTTTTACTTTTCCCGACCTATCAAAGAGTTGTCAGGCAGTCAATATATACTGTACTTTGTATGACGTCATTTTCTGACGTCACTTGTCCAGGGGAAGACAAATCATGTTCAAAATTTGAAACAAGTTCTGTTCTTTCAGTATCAGATTCATTTTCGGAGTTGATGAATATCTCCGATGTATTGTTAATACTAGTTAAGTCGTCTGCTAGTGAGCACGCACCTGTTGTAGCATTTATTGAATGGGTATCGTCTGCTGGAGAAGGGTTAATGGTATTTGATCTGCTTTGGTCGTTATAAAGAGGGTTATGAAACTCTACATCTGGAATAGGCTCGTGGTCGCTGCATAGAAATAATATACAAATAAAAAGGTGAGCAAGATAAAAGCAAAATAGGCGAGTATAAAAAATGGTCAATGAAGTATTAAATGAAAGTAGGAATAGCTCGATTGACCATACAAGTAAATCTACAAATTTACAAAAATTAAAGTATAGATACATATCGTCATATTTTGTAGAAGAAACTGTTAGATGTCTCTCATATAATGCCAAAAGAAAAAATTAAACACGTGAAAAGAAAATTCACTGAAAATGTACCCAATTTATTTTTATGCACAAAAAGTTACAAAAATTGCCAATAGACACATAATTAAACTTATTTTGCTCTCTTCACAAGTGAAAGAGAACTTGTTCTCTTGTTTAAAGCAAAACAACAACAAAGACAGGTTCATTGCTATTGCCATTTTGTCTTCATAGAATCAAATGTCATCAGAATAAGAACAGGCGTTAGTAGGTGTTCGTAGATCTATAAACCCGGATCCGGTTGTTCAAAACATTGGTTAGTGTTAACCAGTGGTTAAATTCATTATCCACTGGTTAAATTTTGTCCGTTGGATAAATTCTGTTGCTCAAAACTTATCCAACGGATAAAATGCGTTATCCAGCGGTTAACTTTAACCAGTCCCATGACCACCGGATAATGCCCTTAACCAGTGGTTAGTCATCATCATAAAAACAGTAAAAATCATTAAAACTTTTTTAAAACCAGATTTTGCTTACAAATATATAGAGGATATTTGTTTGTTTGTGTGTAAGATGAAATTTTATTTCATCGAGTGGGCTTTAAAAACAGTATTCTCACGAGTGGCGAAGCCACGAGTGAGAATACTGTTTTTAAAGTTCACGAGATGAAATAAAATTACATCTTACACAACAAACAGACACATTTTCTTTTTATTTTATGCTTAAAAACAAGTTAAAACGAAATTTCCATAATTTTAACGTTAATATTAAAACTGTTTCCCCCATTGAGAGCCCCATATATTCGGAATTTCTCATTAAAAAAAAGAAGTCTTGAGCTGAAAAATAAGTCCGCCAATCAACATTAAATGACGGTGATATTATTATTAATTTTATTAAAAAAATATGAATGATCGCTTGTTTTGATAATAAAAAACAAACAATTCTTGTAGAGAAAAAGTCCAACCATCCATCCATATTTCTGTTACTTAGTGCGAATTTATATTAGACCTGGCTTTGTAAATTGTAAGCGGCAGCCATTTTTTAAAGTTGTGTATTTCATGGGAGGAAAATAATTGTGTAAGATTCAGAGGGATATAATTTGGATTTGTTAGTCATACACATTTTTAAAAAGAAGAAAACTTATTTGAGGATTGTAACAGACATAAAATAAGTGTTGACAGATGTGAAAACATTCAGAAAAGGAGCTAGGAAAATGGAAAACTTGGAAACCTGCTCAAGAACGCTGGGTTTATTTAACTTATTCTTCGAGTTATGGCTGTCAATGCTTTCAATTTTTCATAAAGCATACGGCAGTTATTGCTCGTAGGATACTTTAATATGCCCAAATGTCATCAAGAGCAGTTTTGCATGGGGAAGGAATGTATTTTTGAGACTGTCAAAATGAAACAAAAAAACGAAATTTGGTGATTGGAATTTCATGAATTTGAATGAATAGAAGTAAGTTTTCTTCTTTTTATTACTTTTGACATTTAAGTTATTTATCAATTTCAGTTTTGCTTTTTCTTTAAACAGCCTGACATTGTCAGAATTGTCAGCAAAAATAAAATTGAGGTACCACATGGGAAAAATCTTAAAAAAGTAGTTTCGTCATTGAAAAGAGTGAAATTATATTTTGATAATTTTCACTGTGAAATTACCAAATATAATTTTCACGGATAAATCAGTAATCCACTGAAAAGCATAAAATAAATGTTTATTTTCCTTAACTAGAACATTTCATATCAAATGCATAGGATTAAATTGAAACATTTCTGAAAAAGTGCTTTAAGAACCCTTTTTCAATCTAAATTTGTTGTTGTTGTAGTAGTTCAGAAAATTCAGTTAAACAATGATAACTTTCTTATTCTTTAATAAAACATACAAGTGTCGGTACTCATTTTCTTAGTTAGAACAATACCCATCTAATGGAAGTAATTTCAAATAAAAATTTGAAAAAAAGTTGTTTTTGAATTTTTTTCTTATGTGTGTCTAAGGGAAAAATAAATCTATCAATACTTTAAGGCCTCTGATATACTTTGTGTTTAATTCCAAAAACAAAAATGCACAAAACATGCAAAATTATTTCTTTGGGAGCTTTTTGATACTAATAAATTTATTATTCATAAAAATATCGGCCATTTTGTTTCCAGAATCACTAACCAACCGTGTTGCATTGTGGTACTTAACCAGTGGATAAATACGCTATCCACTGGTTAGGTAGCCAGGGTACTATCCAATTGTCGAACAATGAATTTTTATTTACTGGATAGCTGACCGCTGGTTGAGGATTTAACCAGTGGATAAGCTATCCAATGGTTAATTTTAACCAATGTTTTGAACAACCCGGTCCTGGTGTTAATAGATCTGTAACCCCGATGTCCGTAGATCTGTAAATCCGGCGTCCGTAGATTTGCAAACCCAGAGTCCGTAGATTTTAAATCCGGTGTCCGTAGATCTATAAACCCGGTGTCCGTAGATTTGCAAACCCGGAGTCCGTAGGTCTGCAAACCCGGTGTCAGTAGATCTGCAAACCTAGTGTTCGTAGATCTGCAAACCCTGTGTTCGGGGATCTGAAAAACCGATGTCCGTAGATCTGAAAACCCGGTGTCCATAGATCTGCAAACCCGGTGTCCGTAGATTTGCAAACCCGGCGTCCGTAGATCTATACTAGGGCATAAAATTTTACTGTACATGTAATTACTTTGCGCTTTTCAGATATTATTTATCTTTTAATGTAATGAACATAATTGGAATTATATTATGTAATATTTTCAAAATAAAGTATTATGTTAGTTACCCTGGTAACGGAAGTCTTGCAGCAGCATCAACGTCATCTTCATCTTTAAATTCGTCTTGCTGGACAGAATTTTGTCTAAAACCAAAGCAAGAGCATGTTCAAGTTGTTTTAAAGATTAACCTATGTCAATGCCGGTTGATTTTATAGAAATATTATTACCATAAAATACCATTAATTAATTATAATATAAAAACAAAAATATTTCACTATAAACGTCTCATAGCAAGTATAAGCCCTTGATGATTTGTATTTTCGACAATCCTTTAAATAAAACCATTTTGTTGCTACGAGCATATTTCTGTAAGACGATATTAGATTCATTATAAGTTCGTGATTTCCTGCAAAGTTCGTCTCTTTCCGTTCTTTACAAAGACAAAGATAATTTTTTCATCAGTACAGTATGCCGAAGAATTAAGGGGGAATCACTGCGTGGAGAATGATTGCAACAATCTAGTGTTTAAAAGTGTTTTATAACAACAAAGAACAAGAGCACGATTAATTGACGGATAAGTTTCATAATTCATAAGATAAATTCATTTGAATATATTTGCCTTGCGAAATTCTCCAGTTCGGTTCGCTATTCATTGCATATATCGCGACATTTCATTTTTGATAATCAAACACTCTCATACCAATCGGAATGTTCGGCTATTATCACCGACGAAATGCGGATGCCAAAAATGACGAAATTGGCAGTAATATTACGACAGCTATATTTAGATATCATACAACAAAGGCGCTCAGATCTTATAAAGAAGTTTGTCCTGTTATTTCAATACAATAAATTCCACATGGTATAATTTATAGTTTACAAAATGTAAATATATACATACCCGTTATTCCGACACAACGATAAATTTTCTTCTGGTGAATGCATATTTGTCCCATGTCGTAATTTTGGAAGACGTCGCCTATAAATAAAATAGTTATATATCATGTGTATATAATCAGACTAAGCAAACTTGCATGTACGAGAAATTATTTATAGTTTCTACATGTATATTATAATGATAATGCACCATGTGCATTAAAGGCCATTTATATAAGACGAACAGTTGCATAACTTTTTAAAAAGTTTGCGACAAAAAAAAAATAATATTAGAAAAAAATATTAAGTACTTCTGCATCGAGAATTTTTTCCCGTAGAAAAGTTACATACAAATATTTGACTTGTTTTTATAAAACCTGTGACATTTTTTTTTATTTTAAAACCCAGATAGAAACAATCAGGCTATGAACAGTAATGATACGTTTAAGTACAAATATTGATATTCGGATTCAATCGTACATTTACAAATATAACAAACTTGTGCATCTCTATACAGAACAACAGAACATTTATGTTTCGTTTTGTTGATCACTATATTGGTTTTAAAATTCTAAATCTTGGGTTAAGGAAAATCTCAGTAAGTGTATATTATCAATAATAAGACTAAATAGTAAATTAATAAATAATAATTTGCATAATGGAGAAATATACATAGTTCTTACCTGTACTAATGACAAAAATGTAATATTCACATGTAATATCGACAAACAATGTAATATTCACATGTAATATCGATAGAAAATGTAATATTCACATGTAATATCGACAAACAATGTAATATTTACATGGAATATCGATAGAAAATGTAATATTTACCTGTTATATCGACAAACAATGTAATATTTACATGTAATATCGATAGAAAATGTAATATTTACCTGTTATATCGACAAACAATGTAATATTTACATGTAATATCGACAGAAAATGTAATATTTACCTGTAATATCGACAAACAATGTAATATTTACATGTAATATCGATAGAAAATGTAATATTTACCTGTAATATCGACAGAAAATGTAATATTCACATGTAATATCGACAGAAAATGTAATATTTACCTGTAATATCGACAAACAATGTAATATTTACATGTAATATCGATAGAAAATGTAATATTTACCTGTAATATCGACAAACAATGTAATATTTACATGGAATATCGATAGAAAATGTAATATTTACCTGTTATATCGACAAACAATGTAATATTTACATGTAATATCGATAGAAAATGTAATATTCACATGTAATATCGATAGAAAATGTAATGTTTACCTGTTATATCGACAGAAAATGTAATATTCACCTGTAATATCGACAAACAATGTAATATTTACATGTAATATCGACAAACAATGTAATATTCACATGTAATATCGATAGAAAATGTAATATTTACCTGTTATATCGACAAACAATGTAATATTTACATGGAATATCGATAGAAAATGTAATATTTACCTGTTATATCGACAAACAATGTAATATTTACATGTAATATCGATAGAAAATGTAATATTTACCTGTTATATCGACAAACAATGTAATATTCACCTGTAATATCGATAGAAAATGTAATATTCACATGTAATATCGATAGAAAATGTAATATTCACCTGTAATATCGACAAACAATGTAATATTTACATGTAATATCGACAAACAATGTAATATTCACATGTAATATCGATAGAAAATGTAATATTTACCTGTTTATATCGACAAACAATGTAATATTTACATGGAATATCGATAGAAAATGTAATATTTACCTGTTATATCGACAAACAATGTAATATTTACATGTAATATCGATAGAAAATGTAATATTTACCTGTTATATCGACAAACAATGTAATATTCACCTGTAATATCGATAGAAAATGTAATATTCACATGTAATATCGATAGAAAATGTAATATTCACATGTAATATCGACAAACAATGTAATATTTACATGTAATATCGATAGAAAATGTAATATTTACCTGTTATATCGACAAACAATGTAATATTTACCTGTAATATCGATAGAAAATGTAATATTCACATGTAATATCGATAGAAAATGTAATATTCACCTGTAATATCGATAGACAATGTAATATTTACATGTAATATCGACAAACAATGTAATATTCACATGTAATATCGATAGAAAATGTAATATTTACCTGTTATATCGACAAACAATGTAATATTTACATGGAATATCGATAGAAAATGTAATATTTACCTGTTATATCGACAAACAATGTAATATTTACATGTAATATCGATAGAAAATGTAATATTTACCTGTTATATCGACAAACAATGTAATATTCACCTGTAATATCGATAGAAAATGTAATATTCACATGTAATATCGATAGAAAATGTAATATTCACATGTAATATCGACAAACAATGTAATATTTACATGGAATATCGATAGAAAATGTAATATTTACCTGTTATATCGACAAACAATGTAATATTTACCTGTAATATCGACAAACAATGTAATATTTACATGTAATATCGATAGAAAATGTAATATTCACCTGTAATATCGATAGAAAATGTAATATTCACATGTAATATCGATAGAAAATGTAATATTCACCTGTAATATCGACAAACAATGTAATATTCACATGTAATATCGATAGAAAATGTAATATTTACCTGTTATATCGACAAACAATGTAATATTTACATGGAATATCGATAGAAAATGTAATATTTACCTGTTATATCGGAAACAATGTAATATTTACCTGTAATATCGGTAGAAAATGTAATATTTACCTGTTATATCGACAAACAATGTAATATTTACCTGTAATATCGACAAACAATGTAATATTCACATGTAATATCGATAGAAAATGTAATATTTACCTGTTATATCGACAAACAATGTAATATTCACATGTAATATCGATAGAAAATGTAATATTCACATGTAATAGCGATAGAAAATGTAATATTCACATGTAATATCGACAAACAATGTAATATTTACATGTAATATCGATAGAAAATGTAATATTTACCTGTTATATCGACAAACAATGTAATATTCACCTGTAATATCGACAAACAATGTAATATTCACATGTAATATCGATAGAAAATGTAATATTTACATGTAATATCGACAAACAATGTAATATTCACATGTAATATCGATAGAAAATGTAATATTCACATGTAATAGCGATAGAAAATGTAATATTCACCTGTAATATCGACAAACAATGTAATATTCACATGTAATATCGATAGAAAATGTAATATTTACCTGTTATATCGACAAACAATGTAATATTCACATGTAATAGAATTGAAATCTTTACTGATATGAACCACATCAAAGTTTATATCAGGTCTTTCCCCTCTTCCAATGTCATCGCCTGAAAAACAGTCAATATAATTATTTGTACAATTAACGATTGAAATGAAAATAAAAATTATTTTTTAATTTAAGGGGTATTTTGTTTTTTGCATGTTTTAAAATTGAAAAAATTTTAAGGGGGTTGGGAAAACCGATGGCCAAAATTTTTTACGTTGGTGGTTTTTCACGAATGAAATACATTTTAATTTTTTATTTTGAAAAAAAAAAAAATTTTTTTTTTTATTTTTTATGCTTTTTTAAATGATTTTTTAAAAATTTTTTTTAATTTCTTTTTGCCCCGTTTAAAGTGCGCATTTCCTTTTTTTTGAGTTATTTAAAATATTTAAAGTTCACATATTAATTTTTTTAAATTTTTGTTCTGTTAAAATTTCTTAATTTTTTTTACATTTTTAAAATGAAATTTTGGGGAATCGAAATTTTTTTTTCCTAAAAAAGCAAAATTTAGGGATTTTAACAGCATTTTTATTTTCTGCCTTTTTTTATTTCCATTTTTGTTTTTTGATTTCTTTTCATTTTTTCCCCAATTTTTAGATTTTTTAAAAGTCCGGTTAAAAGTGAAAATTTTTAATTTTTTTTTTAAATTTCCAAATTTTGTTTTTTTTTTTCAGAATATTTAATTTATCTGATTTTTATTTTAACAATAAAAACACTTTAAAAGGCATGAAAAATAATTTGATTTTTTATTTAAAATTTTTTTTTTTTTAAATTTTTACGGAAGGGGTTTTATTATAAAAATTTTTTTTCGAAAAACTAAAAAAGGCAAAAATTGGAAACCCGAAAAAAAGAAAAAAAAGAAATAAAAATAGGTTTAAATTTTTTATATCCCCCACCGTCGGAAAAAAGATTATTATTGGTGATAGTTTTTTAAATTTATTTTAATTTTAAAAAAAATTTAAACTTATACTCAAAAGTTAATTTATTTAAAGGGTTTTCACGAATGTTTATCATTTATTTGTTAATTTAATAAATAATTTTTCAACTTAATAATAAAAAATTTAATGTTTTTTCAATGAAAGTTATTTAAACAGTAATTTTTCACTGAATGTAAAAACAATCAATATTTTTCACTTAAAAGGGAATCGATCAATGTTTTAAACCTGGAAAATTTTAAAACAATGTATAAATTTATTTTTCATTATTTCTTTTTCAGTCAAATTTAAAAATTTGTACGCAAATTTTTAAACACGAAATTTTAAACATTTTAAAGTTAAACACTTTAAAGTTAAACATTTAATTTTACATTTAATGTTTTATTCCAAATTTTTTTACAAAACATTTTACGTCGTTTTAAATATTGCTTTTTTGATTTAAAGCAATTTATACCTTTTTTTAACAGATTTTTTAAAAGGGTCGTTTTTAAAAAAATTTGCCCCTTTTCAAGGGGAATTTGAATGAAAGGTTAAAAAATCAGGGAAAAATTTAAAATTTTGGTCAGAAATTCCCTTTTAATTTTATGATTAAAATCGGGATGGGAAAGAAAAATTACACAAAAGTGGGCCAAAAGAAATTTTTTTTTTACAGAATTTTCCCGGAAAAAGGTCAATTCATAAAAAAAGGGGGCCTTGTTAAATTTTTTGGCAGGATATATTTTTCTTTTCCAAAACGTTTCCAATATCTAACCTTAAAAAAGCCAAATTTTTTCGAAAAAATTTGTCAATTTAGTTTAACTTGAGATAAAAATAAGCAAATGTTAAAATTTTACAGAAAACTTAAATTAACAACGTAAAATTTTTTGGGGTAAGAATTTGATAAAAACTTTCAATTTAAAAAAAGCGTTTTATTTTTTTTTCCTTCACCGGGTAGGGTTGTATTGGAATTTTTCTCGTCACTGTCGTCTGTCGATGGTTCAACAAACACTGCGGTCAGTTTTATGTCCTTATTCACCTCTTTGTCGTACGAGATCATTGCTAGCTTCATAGATAGAGACAAATTTGATGAATCTGTATCAGGTCGCGCTAAAATATCCAACGATCTGTTGTATAGAGTAGAATTTTCTGCGGTAACATTTAACAATTTTTTCAATGATGGACCTGTTGTACTTATTGTGGTAGAACCGTCTGTTGTTGTTGTTGGTGGTGTTGTTGTTGTTGTCGTTGTCGACGGTAATATGAACGTATATGACGCATGGAACCCTTTTGCCTGGACACGGCTATCTGAAGTGAAGACAATATACAGGGAACTTCCGCTTGATGTAAATGACGTAGATCGTCTGTTACCGCAAAGCGTCTTTAAATGATTCGATGTCGTAAAACTGTCGTAAATCTCAATTTTGTCGTATGCTGTTAAGCAAGACGAGCCTGTATGATCTTCAAGTTCTATCGAACTAAATCTAAGAAACACCTTTGAGTTTTCCGGTCCTTGTATATGCCAATGACACGAGGTCATTGCTTGATAAGAATTAGGCCATCTAGGAGAAGCGAATTCCCCGTTGTCTTTTGTAAACGTTGCTTTACAAGGCCAGTCTGAAAGAAAATGAATGATTTTAATACGATGATAACGAGGCTTAATAATAACAAAGACTGATCAAAATCGACAGATATATGTAAATGTAAATCACTGCCGTTTATTAGAATCAAAATGACTCACAACATCTCAAAGGTAGTATTGGTCTTACCAACTTACGTCACAATAATACATGTATACTATATGACTCTTACGAGGAACGGCACTTTTTTAATTTGCAGACAAACACAATACAGGTCATATGGCGACTTTCCATCTAAGCAGGTGGAGGGAGACCTCGTGTGCCTTTCCGTGCATTATTTCACACAAAAAAATTGCACCTGGGTACCATACCAGAAATCGGTGTTTCAAATAAAACAAGACACAGAAAAAAAAGCTACCACAAAAAGCAAATTACATTCACTGAAAGTGAGGTACAGCAACAATAACAAAAACACTAAACATTATAATATAAGAAACCAACATTTAATAAAACCAAAGTTAAATCAAAAGAAACCAAAGTTATAATGAAAGAAACCGAAGCTACAAAAGTGAAACAAAAGAAACAAAAGCTTAAAGAAACGAAACAAGAGTAAAGGTGACCAAATTTACTTTAACAAAAACTAAAGAAGTATTAAATGAAACCAGAGAAGCTCCAACGGGAAACAAACTTACAAATAAAAGACACTAAAGTTTCTACAAAAGAAACCAATGTTACTATCAACTTGTTTTGTCAGAATTGTCGGAAACTGATTCGGCTGAGATTTCAAAACAAGCTATCTCTAAATTGAAGCTTTTAAATTTATATTTTAATTTCTAAGACAAGTGAAAGTGGAATGTGAAAAGGTCTTTTTCTATTGCCAGCTGTATAAGTAAAACTACTTGTTAAGATTGTATCAAGAAATAAATCTATATTAAACAAGTTATTGGAATAAACATTGTAAAGGCGTGGATCAAAATACCTGCAAAATAAAATATTCTAAATCCTTGGGCATCATTATCTGAATTTGTTACAAACGAAACTTTTGCTTTATGGGTCGTTGTTGCGATCTGCGTTTGGTAGTTTACGAGACACGTGCTCGAACTTGTCCCGTCGCCGGTTGTTTCAGAAACTTTAAGAACGTCGTTGTTATTACTACAAGGTTCATCCGTCTGCCAACCAAGGTCTAAGTGGTATATTTCAAACTGTATGATCTGTGAAAGATTGAAAAATGAACAAAGGGTGTTATTTACGAAAGACAGCAACACCGCGTTTCAACTTCTTGAATGCTCGGCTTCATCTTCGTGAATTCACAAATCCAGCTTCACGAATTCACGCATTTGGAAGTCACGAATCCACGATTCAATTGAAATTTAGAATACATGAAGTTGAAATCGTGAATTCGTGAATTCCGTGTGTTGGAAACGAGAATTCACGAAGTTAAAATTGTGAATTGAAATTGGGAATACATGAAGTTGAAATGTCCCCACTGTTCTTTCGTGGTTATTCCATTAGCTGATTTGGTTTACCTTATCAATACATAAAGGGTATGGAGCTATATAATATAACATTGAAATTGTCAAGAACGGTACAATAGTATTGTTATCATATCCTTATGTTCAAATTTAGGGCGAGTTTTGAAATATATCTCTTTTCTTTAACAATAATTATAAAAGAAAACAGAATAACATGTTCCTTTGGCAAAATATTATGTTGTCCTTTATCATAGAGTAACGAACATCATTTGATGAATAAAATGTTGGGTTTTTTTGTGTGTTTTTTTGTATGATTAATTCAAAGATTCAATTAATAACCGATAATAGAAATCTATTATATATAAACAGTCCAATATACTGATTCATCATTTTTATCAAGGTAGACTATGTCTAATAGTGATTGCCAGGCACATGCTAATGCATATATGACATAAAACAAGTCAATCCGGCCCCAAGTCAATCCGGCAAGTCAATACGGCCCCAAATCAATCTGTCCTCAAGTAAGTGCGGCCCCAAATTAGTCAATACGGCCAAAAGTCAATCTGATTTCTGGTCAACCCGGTCCAATTTTTATGATTATTTATTAAGCACTATTTCCTGATAATTATTCTCATTTGTTCTTGAAAGAATAAAAAAGTTAAAGAAGAAAAAGTGGTGCCAAATAAAACAATTATAACAACATGTTTATCTTCCCCTGATTATGGGTATGTACATGTTGAGCCAGTTCTCAGAAGGGCTGTTACGAACAGTTATTAGGAGCGTTGCATGTGACAGACTACATAGTTCTTAGATAGGGGAAACACCTTTCTACAGCGAAAATACGTAGAATAAACTGATTACCTTGAATTCAGGGACCTCGATCATCCACGTACAGTTTAAATGATGTAAATAATGTCTGGGCCAGTTTGGTGACGCGAAGCTCCCACGGTCTTCATTCAAAATGCCACCGCAATCTATACCAAATATATGATTATACATACTTAGTATATATAAATATACATCAAATCTTTTACATCAAAATAATCACAAAATATACAAAATGGTTGGACAAACAGTTTTTGAAACATTTTCGTGGTCCCTCTTTTTTACACGTATTAAATTAGTATGGTTTTTAGCTTGTTCGGTTAACTAAGATGTTAATATTCAAGAGTACCTTCCAGGCACCGGTTTTGTTGTCAAATGCATGAAATTGATCGGTGTTTAGAACCAATAAATATACAGGTTTTGTTTGGATGGGTTAGGTTTTAACGCTATTTTAGCATACTTTTAGTCATCGGCGATGGTCAATCAAGCCGACTTTCCTAGATAACTAACCAGTAATTACCAAATTCTCTGCAAGTAACCCACTTCTTATTCCACATGATTTTTGAATCAACCGTGATAGACAAATGACCATAATATATAAGGTCCGAGATCATATTTTAAACACCTTGCAACCGTAACCCTTTATAAATATTCTAATGTCAATAATTGGGTAGAAATAATAATACGGTGAAGTCAAAGGCCGGGTCCGCGAAGCAATGCTTAACATAGAAGATTTATAAACTCAAGAAAAGAAAATACAATAACTCTACCCAAAACATGACCCTCAGACCTTCCAAAAAAGATTTCAATTTGGCGGTAGAAAAAAAGATTGGATCGATGGCAAATATCGCTAGACATCTCGGAAACCGTTCTTGAAGGCACAAATGTTCATAAAAAACTGGCACTAAATGTTATTCTCACAAAAGAAAATATAGAGTATTTTGAGATATCAACATTGTCTCATATTTATTTTGTTTTGTCAGGTCTCAACATATGACATATGTTTGTTTACATTGACAACTGTCCGTTTCTTAGAAAGGGCGACAACCAAGATAATCGGCGATGTCTGATTGCCGTATTTCGGACATAGGTATTAAAGACGTTAATTTTAATACTTGCTTGCTGCTCGGCATTATGCGATATTAATGCCCTCGAGTTCATAATGTCCTTCGGGCCTGCGGCTCTCAGGCCATTATGCACATCTTCGGTCCATTGTCGCATAATGCCAAGCAGTAACCAAGTATTAACCCCTAACTACATGGTACTGTAACAAATTTCTCAGAAACAATTGAACAGAATGAGTTTTAACACAAAATTTCAATTTATCAACAATGAATTGAAAGAAAAATGAATATATTTACTATTGGCATAAGCACATACCTAAAGATGGTTTCATTTCAAAATGGTGGACATTAACTTCTTCCGGTGTGTAAAGACCCCCCGCATCGCTTCCGGTTGCATGACTTAATAGGCACGTTCCTTTCTGAATCTGAAAATGACAAGCTCGTTGCATATACTGTTTCCACTATATTTAACATCGAAGTATGTATAAAATAATATCCTTTTTATTTTTAATTCAAGACAATATTTCTTATCTTATTATTTTCAAATATATATTCGAATAGTTACAGCGTCAAAGCTACATCAAGTTTGTATCACTTTCTTTCGGACGTTTGAAAATGATTTTTACAAACAATACTTAGATAAAATTGCAAGTACCCATTTTGTCAAATCATTTAAATAACATGCAAAGATAACTTTATCAACAAAAGGCCTTGCAGAAAATAGTGGTGGTTATGTCCATTTTGAACACTTTCTTCTTGGCTCTACAAATTTGTAATCTCCGTGAAACTGGCGTAGAGGAAATGATTTCCTATTAGAGAAAATGAATCACTAATAGAGGAAATGAATTGGAAATAGCCATTTATCATAAATCAAATATGTGACAAATATAGTACTGTTTAGTGCCAAATTGTATAAAATGATGATCCATAGCGCGCATACATCACGTGTTCTCCTGTTTTAAACTGTCCCAAACAATAATAAGGATTACCCTCTGAGTAATTATAAAATTGCTACGTGCACTTTTCTTTCTTTCTTTCTTTTTTTCTTTCTTTCTTTCTTTCTTTCTTTCTTTCTTTCTTTCTTTCTTTCTTTCTTTCTTTCTTTCTTTTTTCTTTCTTTCTTTCTTTTTCTTCTTTCGTTCTCTTACTTTCTTTCTTTCCCTTTTCTTTCTTTCTTTCTTTCTTTCTCTTGCTTTCTCTCTTTCTTTCTTTTTTTCTTTCTATTTCTAATTCTTTCTTTCTTTTTCTTTTTTCCTTTTCTTTTCTTTCTTTCTTTCTTTCTTTCTTTCTTTCTTTCTTTCTTTCTTTCTTTCTTTCTATTTTTCTCTCTTTCTTTCTTTTCTTTCTTTCTTTCTTTCTTTCTTTCTTTTCTTTTTCATATCTTTTTCTTTGGTCTCGTTTTAATGTTGTATAACGAATTTTCTATTTGCAAAATGCTTATGTTGAAAACAAATGTCATTTTATACCACAAAACAACTTATTAATAACGTAAGCTACAAAGCCACGGTAAACAAAATATTTGCATTGAATACTTCAATTTTTAATCATTTCTACAAACAATTTTCAATTTGTTTACAAAATAGCAGAAATCATTAATTAACAAAATAATAAGATATTAAAAGATAGAGAAAATGCCCCCCACCAAAAAGTACATTAATCAAAAAGTTCTTCGTCTCTCCGATACCTCACTGCGAGATAATTCGAGAATGTGTGAGACTACGAGTAAAAAGTCCCTGTGATAAATAATAGGGGATGACACTTAATTATAGGAATTAACGGACACAATATTTACAACTCCCCTGATAGTCTAAGGAATTAAGACAGCAAAATAAATCGTCTACAGCTCAGCATGATTTTTATTGGCTTAAACAGAAGAATAAGACTAATGAAAACTTTCCGACAACGACCAAGATATATAGAAATAACATAGAAGAACAGCAAAAACAACATATTAAAGAAAGAAAGAAAGAAAGAAAGAAAGAAAGAAAGAAAGAAAGAAAGAAAGAAAGAAAGAAAAAAAGAAAAGAAAGAAAGAAAGAAAGACATGAACGAAAGAAAGAAATAAGGAAAGAAAGAAAGAAAGAAAGACATGAACGAAAGAAAGAAAGAAAGAAAATAGCACCATAACAACGTTAAAAACATTTAAAGAAGACAGAAAATGAAAAACAACAACAAATAGAAAAAGAAACACTTAAGACAACATTAATGTAAAAGCTATTTAGAGAAGAATTAGTTCATCTATTTGATATTTTCATGGAATGTTGAGAGCGTATAGAATTAGAAAACTATTCGATATTTTCAGGTCATGTTGTTAGCTTCGTGTGTTGACATTAAAGACCCATTATTCTTCAAAAATGCTATCATTTTTATTTCTTAAACACTTTTTTGATTTTTTGCAATCCTGTTACAGTTTAAGAAAATAAAAACTCATTTACCGTATAGATGAACTATATTTTGCTTAAATTTTGCTCTATTGGCAGTTTGTATAATTATAAGTGGATCAGTATTTTATATGGAAGTCAAAATACTACTTTGTTAACATTTTCCTACCTTTATGTAACATTACTGCATGTTCAGTACTACTTTCTTCAGTTATTAAGCATCTAACATATTCTAAAAGCATTATAAAAACTTTTTTTTTAAATGCTTAACATTTCTTAAAAATTACAAAAAGTATGGATTTTTAGGCATAATGTGCCTTTAATAAAATATCTTGATTGATTGATTGATTATTGTTGTTGATGATGATGATGGTTTTGTTGATGATGATGATCACGTGATAGAAGTGACGTCATTACCTGGTAATCAAATGATCTGCAGACGAAATCCCTCTCCTCTAAACATTTGCGCGCGCATGTTTCAGGTGTCACCCTCCAGATTGTGCGGTCGTTGTTGCCTAGCAACGAAGCATACGGCGTCGGATAGAAATATTCTAAATATTCTCCTGAAACAAATATTGATACATCTATTATATAATTTAAATATTGTTTTATGAACATGAATGGTAAATCCCATGATACAATTACATTGGAAATACTGAAGTTGAATTTAAATAATGATAAAAAAGAGTTGCAGATATCAATAGTGTGTCATAGTTCGGCTGACCATTACCACGGATTTATATAACAAATATAAATTTGTGCCATTACATAAGAGAGATTTTGACAGAGTTTACTGGAATTCAAAGCCGTATCTTTTTTATTATTTATTTTTTTATTTATTTTTTTTCCTTTTTTTTTTTTTTTTTTTTTTTTTTTTTTTTAACCTTTTTAACATGCAAATTTATTGAGGATATCTAAAGACTTACATCGCAATATAACATAAAACAATGACGACGAATACGACAATAGTTTATAATGATGATAAACGATGAAATAACAAATTGGTATAATGGAAAAATATTTGTGATATTTTAAAGAAAAATATTTCATCAAATTATGAAATTGCTTAGATAAAAAGTGCCGATCTTTTTTTATAATTTAATCAAGTAAAATATGACCTAAATCAAATCAGTACAATATTTAGCCAAATCAATATCTGACTGGTCATTTTAGGGAGTATACTACTAATATTGAAATATTAACATATTTTCGCGATGCGATAATTAATCAAAAATGTCTGAGATATCCAGTATTAGTAATCAGCTCATGTCCTTTTTGCTGTACTAACAATAGAGATTCCTCTTGTGAAAATTAGTTTTTATTGACGAATATTCCTAGACCTCGGTCAAGTAATACAAATAATTAATCGAGTGTGTTCTCCGAGAATTCTCTCTTTCTATTTTTAATAACTATCAACTCAAAGGAGCCGCTTTTTAGTATTCATAGACAGCCAGTCAATCAAGCTGAGGGGGAAATATATGATTAAATCTCGACCCTTATATTGCCAAAAGACACCAGTCAAAGTAATACACGCTGTGGCTCGTGAAAATCGTGCTGTCACTGAGGTAATGAATTGAAAGGCTGGGTTATATTGCTAAGAGTCATAAGAAAAAGGAGAGAGAAAGTATATTGCATTTAATACAAGAATACAAATGTTTGCGTTTAAGTTTGTTTTTATGAACATATAGGCAATATAATGTAATTTAATATTCTTTTAATCACATACCAAAAAGCGAGACCTTTGAAGTGATAAAGAAACAATTTTCATTGTATAACGCTAATATTTAGAGCGTCTTAACGCTCTATTAATTAACGCAAATGACGTCACATCAAAATATCGCCCCATTAAAGCAAAAAGGTACCAAGCGACATTTTGGCCAAAAATGACTTTTAAACATTTTTCATTATTTTTTAATGTTATCTTTAATCTGTAGAAATATCTCTGTAGTATCATGTTTATTTACAGATATATAAGGTTATGTAAAAAGGTACAATGTCAATATTTTCCCATTTAGTAATGCAAAAAGGTACCATATGCATATCAGTTTGAGCAAAAAGGTACCAAGCGTCACATAGTACCTTATTGCATTGTATGACTTTACAAGTTTTGAGCATTTATTTTAATGCAAAAAGGAACCATGTGTCACACGGTCCCTTTTTGCACACAAAGAATTTACGACCCTTAAGATTATTTTATATACCAAATTGTTTTCTTGGTACCTTTTAGCTTTTTAATGAATACACAATCTAGATGTTGCTAAGGACATCAAATATAACAAAAAAAACCAGAGTATTGTTTCTGTTTTAAATCGAGGAATGATAACAGTGTGAAGATAATGATAGTGTATAAATGACTTCTTCACAAAACTGTGGACGTAAAAAGAAAAGTAAATCTTGCCAACAAGATACATGGGGTATATGGAAGGAGAAGCATGACACGGAAGCGCACATCTGCAAATAAACTAAATTATGATATAGTTAAATTGGTGAAACAGCATAAAGAGTAATTTCCTTAAATAAAATCTCATTATACAAGAAAAAAAACTGAAAGAAACAATACCTATCTCATGACTATGACTTAAACATTAAAAAGATGTGGAAACTGTAAACTATTGAAAGTGAAAAGAAGGAAATAAAACCTGTTAAGCAACATACATATAGGAAGGCAGTAGGCACACTAGATGGCACGATCAAGGAACAATATATTGAACATCAAAAACAGAAAGAAAATTCACAAGAAGAAAAGATTTAAAGTAAAGTTGGAGCAAAAGGTGAACCATGCGTTTATGTTGCATGTTTTGATCTCAATGCCGTTGTAACAACCCCTTGCTCATTAGTGAGTGAGCTTTACAATTTAAGAAAACTCTGTTGCTACACAACTTGACAGTATATTCCTTATGAGACAAAAATGTTGCAGTCATGTATGGGATAAAACCAACGCTGCAAAGAGAGGTGAAATAGCTTCCTGCTTAATAAAAACCCCTTTTCTACTTGCCAAAGTGGTTATGTCAAATAAGTCATATATTTTTCAGATTCATACGGGGGACAAAACAGAAATTGATTCATAGCTGCGTCTCTTCTTTTATATTATTACAAGTTCCAAGTTTAAGATTGATCACAAATTTCTTGTATCGGGTCACTCACAGATGGAGTGACAACTTGACTCTTGAAGGGGCAAAGAAAAAAAATTCCTGTATAATTATGTATCATTCAATTGTGTTCTCTTATATCACTGGCCAGAAAATCACAGCCATACATAGTGCTATGTTAATGAAATATAGCCATGTTTTTGATTCCAAATACTTCATTAAAAAAACAGTGTCTGAGACTCAAAATTCTGGAAACAAAGTGATCCCTCGGAAGCATTAATCACAACAAATTAACATAAGAATTGCAGATTCGGTTTGATTGAGTCTGTGAATGAGGGATAATGAATAAGTGCAACATCCCTCACGCCCCCTAGCACCGGCTTGAGCGGTACTCAATTCTCAACACTTTATAGTGTTGGCATCAATGATCCCGAAGGACCAGAAATATAACAACACTGAAGTGAAGTACATCCATTGACGGACAAAGAGTAAACTGGCTACAAGTGGAATTAATACAGGTACCAAAGGAAAGCACAAAGCCAGTCATTTGTAAATTAGAGCTTCAATGCTGAAGATGTTATGGAAATAGAAGTTCAGAATTCAGAATCTAAAGTATTAGTGGACAAATGGTGAATAATATATGAAGTTATGAAACAAAACCTCCAGTTTCTATTCAAAAGAAAAATGACTTTGTGTGCAAAGAAAATTATCCAAAAAGAGTTCCATAATTATAATGCCACTTAACCAACATAAAAGAAAGAAAGGATTATGTCACAATGGAATCTGATGAGAATGATTCTGATTTTGACTAACAATGTAAGAGATTTTGACAAAGTCATTGAGATTGATCACAAAGGAAGACTTTCAAAACATGCAGTATGATAGTTGTATCAGATATTTACTGAAAACACAAGAATTTCATATTATTATTTGTATCATTGTAGAATAAAACTGTAACCAAATGATGCTTTTTGTTAATATTGTTGGGACAAAAAGGTGCCAACTGCCATATGGTACCTTTTTTTGATATATTCGACAGCAAATGTTAAAAATCATACAATGCAAAAAGGGGCCAAGCGATCATATGGTACCTTCTTGCATTTGTCGGTCAAAATTTTTATTAGTGCAAAAAGGAACCATTTCCTTTAATTGATTAATTATCACTTATTAGTAATATATAAGCTTCCCAACTTTTTGAGCATGTACATTCAAACATTATCTAAATATATGTAAAGTTTCTTTGCCATGTTGTAAAAACCTGATTTGATATGGAACTTCAAATCTTTAAACGCGATTTTCTCGAAAACATGAAAATGTCACTTGGTACCTTTTTGCTTTAATGTGGCGATATATGCACGGCCGTGCAATACTATTTTTACGGAGTCGCAAAATTGGCACGGGTATGTGATTAATAATTGTATCGATTATGCATAGACGAAAGATTGGTTTTTTCTTCAAGTTTGAAATCCGATAATTTACTTATCTTTATCATGTATATACACATACTAACCTATTAACTCGTAATGCATAACCTGATATTTGGAATCATATTCTGTTCTTATTCCGTGAACATTAGCTGCTATATACTGACTCAGTTGACATGATTGTTCATCGTATACGTAATCAAAGCTCGCGCACGGAAATGACGTTTCGGCTAAACATAGCTGTGCGCATGCGTCTAGGTGTACACCAAGCACAATTTTTCCATGGGTTTGGACACCTTCGAGAGTCTGTAGAGATCCAAAACCATAATTGATGAATTTTCCAAGAGCGCCATCTACAAGTAAAATGATTGTAAAGACAATATAAGTATATTTATAAGTGGATATTTAAGAAACATTTATCAATATCGTATATATCTGTAAAGCTGTCAATCGGAATATCATGTACCAGTAACTTTAACCCCATCGGTTTAATACAGGATAAAGCGGAGAAAATTACAAATTAGAAGGGCTTTCTTAACTCCCGTCAGTTCTTAAAACTGTCACGTAAAACCATTTGGTGCCAAAATAGCCTTGGCTATAGGGCTATATTTAACTTGCATAACAGAACCATTAAGTTGTATTTTTATATTTTGACAATTCCTGCGGGGTGTTCCTTAACCAGGGATTCCAAAGTATAAGTCCCTGCTACTCCTCGGGGACCGAGTTTACACTTGTCATTTAGATTAAAGGTCGAATCAATATAGGTATGCAAGCACCTTGATTTCATATTAAACCATATTTTAAAGAAAAAACAATCCTAAGAAATGTGCATTTCTATAATTCAATACTCACTAGATTTTCGTTCATAAAAATCTGTATTACTCCGCCGTACAAGGCCGTTGACGTCATGGACATCCTTATCTGTTAGCCAGCAATTCCTTCTTCGTTCTTCATAATCAAAGCCAAGACATTTAAACGTAATCTCTAATATACATCTGCGTGCGCACTCTTCCACTGTCAGTCCGCGTATATTCCTGTTATGACGTAACGTTATCACGTGGTTTGGAATTCTGTTAAACAGCCGTTCATATGCAGCTGAAATAAATAAAAACTAAAAAATCACTTTTGTCATTTCAGTACACAAATTAGTATATTTGAAATTATTGGCCAAAGTCCGTCTGTCATCAGTATGACTTCCTGTACAATTAAAACTGGATATAAGAAAATTTCCCATTGGTCAGTTTAAAGTTACAAACTGAAATCGGCGAATCTCATTGGTCATTCTAAAAGGACAGGTATAACCATACTAAAATAAAAATGTAAAGGATAGTTCTTATCATCCTTAAATAAAATTTTAAGGTTAGCGCTATTTTAAAATGTGAGGAATAGTTTGGCTACTATAAAATAAAATGTAAAGGACAATCGCAACTACTCGGCCCTTTCCGTCAGTCTTTGGATAAGGACCTCGAACACAATAGTATGAATACACAGAACGTTAGAAATATATTTATTATTATGGTTGTAGAAACCGAAAGTACAAAAAAAACCAACCTGTTGACATTTAGTCGGATTTGTTTAAAATTGAACATCAGTGGGCATATTTAAATTACAAATTGTTGTCAGACATATTTTCAAGCATAAGAGTACCGGGACACACATAAGGTGTCAAATATATACATTCGTTTGACATTATCTCTGTTTATGTTTACATCTGAAACCACGTGGTAGAACTACTTTCAATCTGTATTGTTTCCGAGGTTATTATAGATAATAGCCGAGGCAGTTCCGAATATGTATTGGAAAGTTCTAAAATAAATGTACAGGAATGGGGATAGTCAGTTAACATTTAGGTCAGTTTGTAAATGATAACAAAATTTACAAAGTCAAACAGAAAGCAAGTAAAACGGACTCCTTAAATAGAATTTGTTCTTCTTTGAAAAATCATCAATATAAATATGCTATAATTATATTTCAATGTTTTCAAAATTGATATCTTCTTAAAAGGTGCAAGAAATAATTATCATGTCATTGTTATGCAGGCATTGCTATCATTTCTTTTTATATGGAAAACTTAAAAATAACATAATTTTGCATGTTAAAAAGTTTTACTTCGGCCGAGTATCGAGTGACAGGACGGTTCATACTGTTTCAACACTGCAAATTAAAGGCACTGCTAAATGCCAGGACATACAAAATTCAATAAAAAAAAAAAGATGATAATAAATTATTTTCAAAATACTGCAAAGACTATGACGAAAAGCAAAAAAAAAAATATCCACATAAATTGAAAATCAAAATATCTTTGCCAATTATATACTTGCAGTCTTGAACAATTAGGCAATTATAAAACATCATCATCTCTAGCAATATGTCTATACAAATCTCTTTTATTATCTTGGTCATTTATCATAATATGTGTTTTGTATTAAATATAAAGAGAAATTCGAATAACTTTGTTCATATCTTCTACAATGAAGTGTTGTCAATGAAAATTATTGAAAATGAATTATAGCGTCGGCAGAACAGAGTGATCGTTCAGATTTGTGCAACAGCCCGTCTTTCCAACATCATTAATCATAAACGCTTTTCGTTACTTTTGATTCCTTTAGGACTAATCTCAACTCTTCAAAAATGAGACAAATATGGCGCCTGCGTTGTTGTGGTAGATATTAATCAAGTTTTGAAACTTTTGCATTTACTTATCAGAACTTGTTTTCCACTGAGGTATTTTCCAGGAACATGATCTGATTTCGTAATTGATGTTGAATAATTGTTCGGTATTTCAATTTTGACGTAAACTTCGTCATAAAATTGTCATAATATTTCATTTTAAAAGTCATAAATTCAACAGCTTATCTAAGGATAGAAATTAATAAATGATGCAATACTGAAAGATAAAGAAGTCATTATGATGATGATGATGATGATGATGATGATGTTGATGATGAAGATGATTATGATGATAATGATGGTGATGATAATAATAATAATAATAACAGTAATAACAATAACAACGACAACAATAATAAAATAATAAAGATTATTATAATAATAATAATACTACTACTACTACTACTACTACTACTAATAATAATAATAATAATAATAATAATAATAATAATAATAATAATAATAATAATAATAATAATAATAATAATTATTATAAAAATAATTATAATGATAATAATAATAATGATGATGATAATAATGATAATAATAGTAATGATAATTATAATGATGATAATAACAATAATAATAATAATAATAATATCATTAATAACCATAATAATAATAAATAATAATAATAATAATAATAATAATAATAATAATAATAATAAAAATAGTAGTAGTAATAAAAATAATAATAATAATGAGCTTAAAGAGACCAATTTATCAATAGAATATTTAGTACATGTATTTCGATGAGACTAGAAATAAATCTTACTTCGATAGTGATCGAATCCCCGCGCGTGCTGAAGTCCGACCAATGGTTCTGTGTGTGTGTGATTATGCAAATGACATTCCTTATTTAAGTTGTCGATATCAAATGATTTACATTCGAATTCTGTTTCCCTTACACAGCTTGCTGCACATTTTTCTACAGTTGCATTTTCAAAAACCTCTTGCGGAATGGCTTTTAGATAGTTGTCAGGAATTCGTCTGTACATGGACTGGTATTCGACCCCTTTACCTGAGAAAATAGTAAAAATTCAAGTATGTTATTAAGTATACCAATCAAAGTTTAAATACTTACGAACTGAAACAGAGGTGGTTATCGTTTTTTTCTAGACTGATATAAATATTAACACTTAACACATTATAGAAGGAATAATACACCCGTATGCCCATCTGTATTTGTGTAACAATAAATTAACCAGATGTCAAATTAAATTAAAGTAAAAACTTTTGAAAATTTTAATTTAATTATGTTTACACTGTTTTTTTGGACTGGAATATAGAACGAAAAAAAAAATTGGATGTTATAAACTGTTCAAGGTCCATGCCTACGCTAGTTACTTGTATGAGAGGCTTCTTATGTTTATACAGAAAGGTAAATTCAGAATATTTATCTACATACGATATAAGAAGTCAAAAACATGTCTACATCTTTGGAGAAGCACGTACTTTATGATTTGATTAAACATATTTTATGCTATTGATATTCTCAGAATTGCATATGAAAATGTAAAATGATACATTATATACCTTTTTATTCAATTTCTTGATTTAAAATTATACGCACTGTTTTTGATTGGGCTTTAAATTGTATCAACACAGTAAAATGTCATATGGCTGCTTTCCAGCTTTACTGGCAGACTCAGGTGCACCTCTGTGCATTATTTCAGGCATGAACGGGCACTGGAGTTGCACCACTGATGTTCCATAAATCTGAAACCGTATTTATGAATTTTATTCACGAAATATACGATTTTGTTGTATTGCTTTCCAATATTTAATCATTAACTTTTTAAGAGGATAATCTGCTACATTTGTTGAATCTTTTATTTAAAAAAAACTTATATTGTTCAAGAATACGATTACAAAGGAATTATGAAAGAGATTAGCAACATTAAAGAAAAGCAATTAAAGAAATTAGAAACCGATAAATTGTGAAACAAAGTTTTCAAAAAGAAAAATATTGGATATTTGCATATTCTTGCACAACGATAAACGCACATTGCTCATTAGCAACATATCATTATCGTCTTAACATCAAAAACGTATGTTTATAGCCATATCTTAAAAGCTTTAAAGCGGCAAAATCAAAGGATCAATCCTATTACTAATGTATTGAAAAACAGACTTTCACTGCAATAGTAAATTATTGATCAATCTATGTATGCTAATATGTGAAGTGAAATTATTAACATTGTCATATAGTTTAGAGTTGTATATATATCATATGTAATCTGTATGTGTTAAAGGCACATTATGCCTCAGAAATCCATATTTTTATTAAAGTGTTTCGAAATGTTAAACATGTGTTAAATAATGTTTTAATAATGGATTTAGAGCATGCAAGATGTTTATAACTGAAAAAAGGTAACACTGAACATGAAGTAACGTGTCATAAAGACAGGAAAATGTAAGCAAAGTAGTATTTTGACTTCCATACAAAATACTAATTCACTAAAATCATACCAATTGCATGCAGAGCAATGAAAGCAAATTATAGTAAATCATTGTAGCAAACGAGTATTTTAATTTAAAACTAACATGATGCCAAAAAGAAAAAGGTTTTGAGAAATAAAAAAAATGACAGCACAATGGGCCTTTAAATTATTTCTTGTTCTTTTGCCCATTGATTTCTCGTATAGGGGCAGACAGATACGCTGTTTTGCATGGAATTTCAAGATGACGTCACATTAATAATTCCGTGATTACCACTGAATGAACGAACTAATCTACGAAAGTTAATTAAAACTTAATTACAATATATTTCTATATATCAATGATAATTTCTGCTTAAGACGGTGACAGAGAGCGTACAAGATAGCCAGTGCGGTCCATAGCCAAATTCTTAGCATTTTTTATTTCTGTCGTGTATGGCGATCTTACCCGTTTCCAATTGTTTATAAATATTAAATTTTTATTATATATTTTATAACATAATCAGAGAAGCATATTTTTAAGCGATGCAAGAATTATTGCCCATGATGCAACCGGTAAAAGTGTAGACGTATTCGATTCGCTCAATCCAAGTACAATGTTGATATAAAAAAGAATAAAATCAAATGATATTCATTTCTTGCAATTTCTTCTTAACGTCGTCTACAAAACATCCGATGAAATTATTGCTCAACTCGAAATGAAATCGTATTAGTTCGCTGTTTTAGACATTACCGGAAGTGATTTAATGTGCTGCGTCATTTAATTTAAACGTTTGAAATAGAGTATAAATCGTTACTATGATGCTGTAAACCAATATTGTCTGCAGTAAATTTAGCAATCAGATGTTAAATAAGGTAGACTTTAAAATGTAATTGTATGAATACGCGTGCTTTAGCTTATGCCTTGAATTCTTTATAGATGTTTGAATCAGATATAACTGGAATATAAAGACAAAACCGAAATGACGTTATAACGTACCGAAAACACTGTTGGCTTTTCTTAAAAAGTCATCTGTGAGAAAGGCGCAAGAAAACTATTCAGTTCTAAATGTGTACGACGACCTCCAGCTATACTATTCGGATTTTATTGTCCGATTGAAATGGTTGAGTTACGTGAGTTATGTCAGTTGAAACAGTTAAGTCACTTGAATTATAATGTCAATTGAAACAGCTGGGCCACGTGAATTATTATGTCAGTTTAAACAGTTGGGTCACGTGAGTTATAATGTCAATTGAAACAGCTAGGTCACGTGAGTTATAATGTAAATTGAAACAGCTATTTCACGTGAGTTATAATATAAATTGAAACAGCTAAGTCACGTGAGATATAATGTAAATTGAAACAGCTTAGTCACGTGAGTTATAATGTCATTTGAAACAGCTAAGTCACGTGAGTTATAATGTCAATTAAAACAGCTGAGTCACGTTAATTACAATGTCAATTGAAACGGTTGAGTCATGTCAATTGAAACAGCTATGTCACACGAGTTATAATGACACGATTAGCCAATGAAAAGCAACAATACAAACGTGCATTATTATAAATACTTTTATAAACCATAACAAATCACACGAAGAATATAGAGGTTGATAAGGCCGCTATCTAAAGTTTACTCTTCATATCATTGTTAAAGATTATTTAAAAAAAACTTGTGGTTGTTCCAATAAATTAGTATATTATGTATTGTTTACAGATTAGAATTCCCAATCAAAGAAATGCGAGTGTTAAATCAAAATGGCCCAGCTCTATCTTAAAAGAAGAGGAGACGAAATTTAAGGCCAAATAGTAGACAAATTGACTGAAAGAAAATGATAGTCAGTAATTCTACTATTTTTTCAGTAAATTATATTTTGAATCACACAGAGCAGAAATAAAAATTTTCAGCTTAGAATTCCTTTGATAAAATTGCAACATGAATAAAGTTGGAATACAAAAAAATAGATAAAGATAAACAATCTATCCATAAAAAAATATTTGAAGTTTTGACACAAGATCAATTTATTTGTATAATCTTCCGGAATAAGTGTATGTCATTTTTGGTGCTTTAATTTGTCTGGCTGTCATTCGCAAAACTACAATGTTTTAATGTTTTTGTTTTGACCGCATAAATATAATGTTTTATTACTCCCATTTTTACCACAAAACTACAATATTTTCAAAACTATGATATGTTTTTGCTTTCATTTAACTACAACACTGTTATTGCTTCTTGTATTTATTTTTCAATTAATTATATAAAACATAGTATCTTAAAGATAGATAAATTCTTTAGCATTGTCCTTCTGTTGGAAATACATGCATTTTGAACAGTGCCTGACACTTTGTTGATTAAAAATGAACGATTGAATTTCGCATTGTATATATTATATGTTATGCATACTGTACACACTATATCAGGGGGCTTTTAAAAAAAATACTAATAGAAAAAAAGAAAAGCATTCACTTTGCAACAAAACATTGCTATACAATATCTTATAACATTTGACATTACGATGCATTTTTTATATTGCGACAATGGTCAGTTCAATATAGATCTACGACATTAAAACAGCATCAAAAATATGGCTTATACAGGTAAACTATGTCTTATAATGAAATTACACCGTATTTTATCGTATTTTATCGTATTTTATCTTATCTTATCGTATTTTATCTTATTTTATCTAATTTTATCTTATTTTATCTTATTTTATCTTGCAAGGCTGTTAGTCATCAATTAACGACCGTGTCAACTGATCATGGTTTGCAGTGTCCGCTTTTCAGTTTATACATATCTTAAAATGTTCCCACTTCCCAACAATGATTAGTGCATTTGTCCAAATTGAAAATTTTTCAATAAGAAATTAAATGCATATATTTTAATGATTACATATAATGTGGACAAGTATTTGCAGTACATATTTTACATATTCTTCAATGCTTAAAAAAATTGTTTTTAGAAGCATAGTTATATACATATATAAAATTTCACAAGTGTGGTAACAACCTTTATTAAAACATACATGATCTTTCAAAAAGCCTTTGTACGAAGGATAAAATCAAACCTGAGGCATAAGGGGCTTTTAGATAATTATTTGGTTTGTCGGGTTAAGTTCTGTTAATATCCACCTTGTCATAAATCTATGTTATAAAAGTTCACCAAACCTTTATGCCTGACCTTGTCATGCAAACTCAAAATAAATATCATTATATCATATTATCTTAAATTTATCATTTAATGTTTGTTATACTTAATTGAAAAGGTAAATGATGTGAGCTCGTTAGGAGAACTCCGCTTCATATAGACATTAAAAGGTTTTATTAAAAGTCACATCATAGCAACGGTAAGATCAAAGGCTCTTTTCCTAGTAATTTCCCCAGGTGAGTTACGATGTTACATCATTATTTCACTGTAAAGTAATCAATACACATATATATTTTACTTTATGACAGTAAACCTGGAAAGTCACATGTGTTTAAATAGCTGTCGATCGTTTATATATATCATTTTAAATAGCAAGAATGGTTAAAACATATTTATTTAAGCTCGATGGCGAAAAGAACCTTTACAACTGATGTTCATCACTTTCGAGATTCTTT